AGTTCCGGTAATTTCGACTGAAATAACTGAAATTAAATAACTCCGAAAAATAATATTGGAACTGAAATATTATTATACTGATAGAAGTTGGGATATTACAGACACCTTGGGACGAGGAGATTAGAGGGCATGGTAGATGACACAGGAACGCGAGCGGACAGCGGGACATGGTCTTGAAGATCGTCCTCGTCTTCAATCTCGTCATCCTGGCCGAGAGCTCGACGAGTATGCTCGGTGGGAGGAGAAGGAGGGCGACTGGTGACCTCGTCTTCAGGCTGGTCGACAAGATAGGTGGAGGGAGAGAGAGCAGTGGCTGAAGGGCTGTCGCTGGTCGTTGCAGGGGGAAGGACGGAAATGGGCTCAGGTTGAAGAATTTCTTGTACGGAATCACTCGAGAGGCTAAGGGTTGCAGAAGAAGAAGGGGAATTTAGGTCCTTCCCGCTGTGTCGGTCATTCTCACTCGAAGTAGCAGAATCTGAGATAAAAGGGAGAAAAACTATAATTAGTTGGGGGAAGGAACAAAGACAGAAGAGAAGGAGGAAAAAAGGCGAGGGAGAACACAGCAGGAAGGACGAACAATGGACGGAGCCATAAATCGACAAGAGGTTGAAAAAGAAGAGGAAAAACCCAAAAAGTTAAAAACACACGAACACAAATTGAAGGATAAAGAAGACTTACTCATGGCGAACAGCGGAGAATGTGCAGGAAAGATGGAGAACTCAAGGTTGCAGGATGCTCGACGATTGCAGAAAGCCCTAATACGGTGATATGCAGCAGTGAAGAAAAGGAAAAAGTTCCTCAAGGATGAGTATTTATAAGGGCAAAGAAGAATAGCCGACCGTAGGATTAAAAGCATAAAATCCAACGACAGAAGTTAGAAGGAGCGTGCGAGTGGACGCGAAGATCGAGGTAACACGAACCACGAGGTCATCATTAGTCTTGAGCAAATGAAGAGACGCGTCCTAAAAAGCGGACAGGTGGCGAAGTTTGAAATTCAAAAAACGAAAAGTGGCGGTTAGGAAAGGAAACAAAAGTATAAGAGGAGAAAATGGGCTAGATGGTCGAAGACGAAGCAACAGGACCTCCTCGACACAGAACAAAGATTACTCTTGGATCGAGCCGTTCAGACTCGGCCAGAGTGGGGGGACTAGATGATATGGGATATTATATACTGGACCGGTTTATAGGGCTAATCAAAGAAGACCGATCGGTTTGCTGGACTATCTAGTGGGAATAGGATCGAATGGCATGGTCGAGTAGGACCAGACACCGGCCGCTAGAACATCGAGCAGATAACGACAGTTAAGGAGAGCAGAGGTGGTCGACAGATACAAGTCATCTGAGGATATGGTCGAGGGAGGACGATCGAGGAGACACAGACGTACATAACTGGTAGAGCATCGGAGCACATAAAGGAATCTCCAGCACATAAGGAGGAGGACACGCGGCGCATTATGAGTGGTCAACAGCCGTAACCAACTCTGACATTCTCTGACAAAGGTGACGCATTTTCTGACACTGAGGATAGTGGAGGCGCGCGATCGTACGGACGAGCAGAAGACAATTGGCCGAACGCACCTGGCTCGCGCGTGCAACTCAGGTAACTCGCCCTTATAAATAGGGGCGAGAATCCTCATTTTCGATACGATTTCATTAACTCTTATACTCTCTCATATATTCACATCATCTCTCAAGATCTGACTTGAGCGTTGGAGGCTCTTCACCGGAAAACACCTCCGGTGTGGGAGTTTCGTGCAGGTTCCGCGTTCAACCGGCGAGGAGAGCAAGCTCAAGGCGAATCCCAGCCGGTAAGGGTGCGAGACTTGTATTAGGCAACAACAAAAATTCTTAATTAGAGTGCTAGTTGCTAGAATGACAAATAAAAAAGATAGGAGGGAGTATTTTTTATATAAATTTATTACAAAAATTACTACATATGTGTGTGTATTAAAATATTATCCTAATTTGTTGTTTATATTAATTTTAGATTTTAATTCGAAATTTTCCTTTATAAATAAGTCAAAATATTTAAACAAGAAATCAACTTTTTATTTTTGAATTAACCATCAACCTCATATATAATGTATAGATTCTTATATTACTCATTTCGGAGATGAAATAATATATATTACTCTTTTTTAATTTAAAAATGATATTTGTATAAAATTGATTTGGTTCAATATAATAAAAATAAATAATTAATTATTCAAATTATAGAATTACATTTAAATTTAAAAATAGTATAGCTTTACATGCAAATTCTAAATTATATACGAGTGTTTATTTATTATAATTAGAAAAATACAGTTTGACAATTTTGTTAGAACACGCATTATTTTGGTTGTAAAGAAACATTAAAGTAAAAGATTTAATATTTTTTTATATATTCTTCCTTATTAAAATTTAATATTAAAATTTTGTTAGAACACACATTATTTTGGGCACATGTTAATATGTCCACCGTGTAGGTGACATGCACTCATTGGTGATGTATTTTTTTTAACATATTAACATCACCAATGAGTCATACCACCTACGCGGTGAACTTATTAACATGTGCCCACCGTGGGTAGAGGAGCATTTCTACTTCATTCAATACACGTGTAATGCATAGTATATAGTACTAGTTAATTATTATAAAAAAAAATGAAAAACTTGTAGCCCAATCTTTCACGTGGGGCCCAATAGGCCAATAGTCCAAAACCCTATGCCTTTATATACCCATTCCCCTCTCCACAACCTCATTCTCAAATCTCAACCTCGCATTTTATTCGTAAAAAATTATCTCTCTGTCTCTCCAAAATTCTCCCCCAAAATGTGTCCAACAGGAACATCGCTGCAAAGCAACGCGAAACTTGATCGGAACCCAAATCTGCGCTCGGCGTTCGAAGTCCTCGACGCGGACGGCGACGGGAAAATCAGTTACGACGACCTCCGGTCATTTTATGGCGGATTTTCCGGCGCCGGCGGGTCGGACGAGGACGTAATCGGGTCGATGATCTCGGTGGCAGACTCGAACCGGAATGGGTACGTCGAGTACGAGGAATTCGAGAGGGTGTTGAGCGGGAGGAAGAAGAAGGGCGGAAATGGTGGATCCGGCGGCGGTGTGATGGAGGAGGCTTTCCGGGTCATGGACAAGGATGGGGACGGGAAGGTGGGCCATGAAGATCTGAAGAGCTATCTGAATTGGGCCGGGTTTGAGGCCCATGACGAGGATGTGAGGGCTATGATTAAGTTGGGCGGTGGGGATGAGAATGGGGGTGTTACTTTTCAGGGATTGCTCAAGATTTTGGCCGTCTGATTGATTGGTGACGATGTTCTTGTTTTGATGATGATGATGATGACAAAAGTTTCTCATATTTTTTCTCCGATAATTTGAAGAAACTATCTCAGATTTGGTATATTTATCAAAAATTTGTTGAGTAAGAAAGATACTAATTACCTTGATTGTTAATTTATCACTTATCCGACATATTTGTGATTTTGGATAACCTGTTACTGCTACAAATCTCTTCTCACCAGCCTTCTTAAGTCCTTTGTCTTGTCCTGCAAAGAAGTCCATTCAATACCCATCAGCTTCCAGCAATGACTAGTTTGTGAACATTGGTAGAATGGATGTTCATGATTTTCTTGAGCCACTCCACACATGTTGCAAGTAGGATCCACTTTTAATCATCTTATTAGCAAGTGGTTATTAGTGCCTATTGTTGAAAAAAAGAAGCTGAATTTTCCATGAAGTGGGATCTTTAAATAGTAAAATAGAAGCGAAAAATTGGACACTCCAAATTGATAATGGAGTTTAGCCAATAATGCATACGTCTCCGGACTACTGCAGATATTTTATTAGGAGCAATGAAATGCACTCGTGTTTACAAAACACTCTTAAACTCACTCACAACTCACGACTTAAATACACACAGAAGCACTCCAAATTCTCCAATTGTTGGTTGCTGCCTTTTTTCTTCTTCCGTTGTTGTCAAAGAAAGGGGATGCTGTCATTTTACTTGACTCAACAATCTCTCACTTGAGGACTGATTTCAAACTGTCCTCACATCTTGATTACGGCAGTAGTCTTTTGAGTCTGCTATTCTAGCAGGCCAACTGAAATTGAGCACAACTTCAGTTTGTCAATAGTCACCACAGTTGCTAGCATATATGTTGGGTTATTGCTTCATGCAATCTTCTTCAAAGTCAACACTTCATCCTCAAAAAGAGATATGATGAAATGATATCGTATGTCAATATGCTTAGTTCTGGAATGAAACACTGAGTTCTTTGCCAGATGTATTGCACTCTGACTGTCACTGTTGAAGACACTCCCTTTTTGAGTGAAACCCAACTCTGCTAACAATCCTTGAAGCCATATCAATTCTTTACTGGCTTCTGTCACTGCTAAATACTCCGTCTCTTTAGTGGATAAAGCAACAATTTTTTTGTATCCGCGACATCCAATTAACAATTGTCACTCCGACAGTGAAGACATAACCGGTGGTGCTTCTTCGGTTATCAACTTCACCTCCAAAGTCAGCATCTACATAGCCCTGTAACTTTGGATCTTTTTTCCTAAAGTACAAACATTTTTGTGTTGTGCCTCGTAGATATCTCAAAATCCATTTGTTTACTTCTCAATGAGCTTTTCCTAGATTTGACATAAACCTACTCATAACTCACACTGCATGACCAATGTCTGGCCTCGAACAGACCATCGCGTACATCAAACTTCCAATGGCTGGAGCATAAGAAATCTTAGCCTTGGATAGACGAAAATGGTTGGCCAAAGGTGTACTGACTGAATTAGCCTTATCCATGTTAAATCTCTGCAAAATACGATTGATATACTCTGCCTGAGATAACTGCAAAAGTCCATTTTGCTTATCTCTCGTGATTTGCATTCCAAGAATCTTCTTTCCTGGGCCTAAGTCCTTCATGTCAAATTCTTTTGAAAATTGCATATTTAATTTTCTGATGTCTTTCATATCTGATCCGCTACTAACATATCATCAACATAAAGTAGCAAGATGATGTAGCTGGACCCACACTTCTTAAAGAGAACAACTGTGATCAGCATTGCACTTCTGGAAACCTTCAATGTGCATGAAGCTTTCAAACTTCCTATACCATTGTCTTGGAGCTTGTTTCAGGCCGTACAAGCTCGACAAATCAATATCCAATCGTTTCCAATCGCAAGATCGAAGTGTCACCCTTCAATAATGACAAACGATCAAGCAAGAATTCATCAACTTCTCTTAAATAAACTCACACAAGAACAAACAAATCAAAGCCCAACAATTACTAATTAAACAAGAATAATCATCCCCAATCCTTAGCAATCAGAATTAGATAAGTAAATCACATTCAACACATCCAAACATTTCTTCTAATCAACCATTTTCATGAATTAAACAACCGAGAAAAACTTACAATTAATCTCAATCCAAGTGTTGAATTCAAAATACAAGTTTAATTCCTAAATGTTAAGAAGAAGAAGAAGAAGAAGAAGAAGAATGAAGGGTTTAGGTGCTTTCTCAAACCTAGGGTTTTCACCCCGTGGAGAGAGTCGTGAAAATGAGGGGTTGCCTCGGTTTTTATAAGCACAAGACGAGGTGTCGTGACGTGGCAAGGTAGCAGGTGCATTAGTCTCTAAACGCCCATGGAGGGCGCCGCGCGTTAGGCCGCGGCGGGGAGCAGCGGAGTGACGCGGCGCGGCAGGCTGGCACAACGTGGAGCAGAGAGGGGCGCCGCGGCGTGGAGCAGGGCAGTGCCGCGGCGTCGAGTAGGGCAGTGCCGCGGCGCGACGCTGGGAAGCCTGGGAGTCGCGCGCTGTATTCCCGTGGCACGTGCGCGGGCTCGAGGTGTCGCGACGTGGCGTGCAATTCTGGGCCCAGTATCTGTTGGCTCATGGCGTGCACCGTGAGGCCTGCCGCGGCGTGGCGTCCTGGGGCATGTGTCCTATGCACGGCTATGCTTTGTCGGGCTCGTTTGAACTCATCGGAATTGAGTTCCGTTTTTTCCTGCTTGTCGCCGATGAACCCCTCTACTCTATTATGCTTGCACGACCAATTTTTGCTCAAAATTCGATCCTCCCGAAGGTTTCGACCTGCACACCAAAAACGAAAATAAAACGGAGAAAACCAGAAAATACACGAAAAACACATAGAGAAACCAAATTAAAAGAAAACACGCCATAAACTACAAAAGCAAATAAAACCAACGAAAAGACTTAAAATGGGAGAAAAAGAAAGACAAAACAGTAACGAAAAACGCAATAAAAATAAGAAACAGTCAGTCGACATTCTGAGTATATTCTTTTGAGATTTCAAGTTTTAATATAACTATCGTTGGAAAAAATATAGAATAACAAATATTAATTAAAGATGGCGAGGTAGGAAATCCTCATATATAATTTTATTTATAACATGATAAGTCTTGAATAATAGGATTGCACTATTCGAAATCTTATTTGACACAATTCTATGATTTGGATTAAATAATATCCTTCGACTGCTATATTAAATGTCAATAAGTTCTATGTTCAAGAATAGTACCTCTGCTCGTAACAAAGTAACTGAAACGTATAATTATCACGAAGTGCGCTATTTGTAGTACGAACTAAATTAAGAACTGAAGAATGCGGAAGCAATAAACCAAAGATTTAAAAACTCCTCAGGGAAGCATCCCACTTCCCCTCAGAGCTCTTTCATTGATAGATCAAACACGAACATAGTTTGGACTTACAAAGACTCGAACTCCCTTCAAGCCTAGCCAACACTACTCACGATCCTATCAACTATTTCTCCGGCCACGTCCCGTGGACTTTTTATCCTACACTTACTCCCTAAGTGTAAAAGTAAAAGATAGTTTGATGAAACAAAGAAACTAAACACAAAACAGCTTCAGTCCTTGAGTTTGTAAGAACTCTCGTACTGAACTGTGTACAACTAAAAAGAATAGAAAATATGAAGCTCAAATATTGCTCTAAAATTTCTCTAACTTCAGCAGCCGCAATAGGAGCTTCCTCTAGGGTATTTATATGAACTCCTTAGGGTTGGAGTCTTCTACAAGGCATAGGACTCCAAGCTTGATTTCCTTCCATAATTGTAGCTCAACTTAGGTAAGTGAATCTTTCATTCTCTCTCCTTGATCTCCTTAATATGCACGCCTCTTCTTCCTTTAATTCTTTCAAGTCCGATTTCCTACAAAATAAAATACCATAATAAGATCCATAATATCTTATATATGGAATATAAAATAAACTCAATTAAGGAAATAAAATAATTGAAGATCTTCCATTTTTTTGTGATTCCAAGTACTTGTTCGAACTGACGAACTAATGCCAAATAAAAATATCTTTCAATCTCCAACTTTGGCATCTAGTTCGAAAACAACAAACTTGAAAGTCTCCTGAAAATTAAAACAACAAGCACCAAATAACAGACCACATCAAGGGGTTAGTCCAAACAGTCCCACACAAAAAAAATAGTCACTGTATAACCACAGTTCTCCCCCTTAGTTCCTGCAGCCATCAAAACTCAACAGAATGAATCTAACAAATTTCCATTTAATCAAAATAAGTAGTCACCACAAGCAGCAAAACAACTACATTCAAAATGACTAAAAACAGTAGCAACCATAACACAAAAGCAAACAAATACGAGGTTCTTTATTACATAAAGACCTCCCTACATCCATCCACAGAAAACAATCTACTACTCATCATCATAATACTTCGCAATTGCCTCATCAGTGCTCTCTCCCCCAGAATCAGAATCTTCATCATTACCTTTGCCAGCAGCAGCAGTTGAACCCTTCTCCCCCTTTTTCAAACTACGGGATGCCGAAGAGCCTGTCCCCGTGTTCTTGCGCTTCGTCCCCTTGACTGCTTGCAGCACTTTTCGAAGATAGGCTTGCTGAGCAGCTACTTTCTTTGCCAAATCATCCCACTCTCCAAGTTGTTGTGCCACATACTCATCCCAGTTTTTAGGAACCAAGGAGGGAGCCAGTTCCCTTGAGACCTTGGTTGTCCCCTTTTCATTAAGAGTGAGAGCACTCACAGAGAATGCTTTTCCTGGGTTCTCGAGAGAGTCTTGGTAGCGGGGATGAACAGAAAAATTGTGGGCAGCCAAGAAGGACCAAATAAGACAAGGAAAAGGAAGGCTCTTGTGAGACTTAATATTAGTGACAAAGGTTTGAAGAATTTCGAAGACAAGATCCCCAAAGCTGAAAACCTTCCCAATCATGACCCAATAAATGACTTTACTCTGGGACTCCGTGAGCAAAGTTTTGTTCGAATTAGGAGTCCAG